GGGAAAGGGAGATGAATAAAGAAAGAGAAAGGAATGCACAGCTCTGACAACCCAGCATTTACAATTTCCCCACAAAGAAATTGGTTTTAATATTTTTCTTTTTTTAGTAACTGTAACTCTGTTCCATATTCATCCAAACCAAAAGCATACCTTTATCTCAACTCTGCCAAATTATTAACAAGGCTCTGTGGTAAATTTCTAGTTTTATTTTCAGAAACTAAGTATAAAGATCCTGAAGTTGTTTCCTAAAATGTGTTTTTATTTATTGTTGAAATGGGGTTTTATTTATTGTTGAAAGTATTACAGATGTCCTCCTTTTTCCCCCAATTGACCCCCTCAACCCCACCCCCACCCCCTCCTCATGCCTTCACCACACTATATTATCTGTGTCCATGGGTTATGCATATATGCATACAAGTTCTTTGATTATCTCTTCCTGCCCCCCCTAAAATTTGTTTTTAGATTAATGAAAGTGTAGCCTAAAGATAACTTGCAAGAAGGATTAAATCTCCAATTTGAAAAAACATTTAACATTTATTCCCTGGTCTTCAGGTACAGGTATTTTTACTGATGGAGCAGGAACTCACTGCTGATGAAGATATTTCACGGTAATATGTAATTCATTTCAATACATTCTTGACAATGTTTAGTATCCTAAAATCATCCAGAATGTTACTTAAAACTAAGAGAGTACAGGTACTGTTTTATCTAAGTACTTTATATACAGGGTGGGGGCAAACGTAGGTTTACAGTTGTTCATATGGAAAATTGTATAATAAATAATACAAGAATATTGCACTCACAGCTGTAAACCCACTTTTGCCACACCCTGTGTTTAGTCCGTTACTATCTACTTTATCATATTTGGATATATTTTCACTTATTCCTTGAGTACTTTAGACTGGATTAAACTATCAGTATTCATGGCCTTTGGCCTCTAGACACAAATTTTTAAAGCTATATAATAGTGTTTCAGGTACATGAGCCATTTTGGTTTTGGTAGGTCAAATCTTGGCCACAACACATGCAGCAAAATGTATTATTGGGAGGTAACCTGTCACTAAGTTATTCATATGTCCAGATCTTCCAGATGATCTCACTTTAATGTATTATAATTTTATTCTTCTTAGTAGAGGCAGTTCATTGTATGACTAAATATAATTTATTTTTATTTATATAGGGATTTTTGTACAAATAAGTTTATAAATTCAAAATTTCCTTTAAGACCATTATGTCTTGAGTATATTTTATTCTTTTGCAGTGCTCGGCTTATAAAAGAGTTCCCCGTACTAATAACTGCGTGTTATTATAGAAAGTCCTCCCCAATCCCTTGCAAAACAGCACTGAGTTGTAGAGAGGTCTCTTGGTTTTAAAACTTTTGGATGTAACATAGTAGTTCTGTACTATTTTTATGTTCAGAAAATTTAAAGAAAAGGTAATGTTTTGCTTGAGACAGCTAAATTATAGTCATAACTTTGCTTAGTAAGTACATTTTCAAATGATTATGAAAAATATGAGTTGGCACTTTGAGGTTTTCTAGGAATTACCTGTTAGTAAACAGGTCCAGCTGCTGACAGCACTGTCTCCTGCTCACAGGACCTCAGGTCCCTCTGTGGCTGGTCTGGAGACAACCTACACAGGCGGCAATGGGTTTTCTACGTCGTATAACAGCCAGCGGTGGTTAAACCTCTATCTCTCTGCTTGCAAATTTTTGGATTTGGCCCTGGCATTGCCCTCTGAAAATCTTCCTCAGTTTCAGATGTAAGTAAAAGCAAGGATGTTTTAAATGGATATTCTGAAAATGCATTTGCTTTGGTCACTGATATCTAAGACTAATTTAAAAGTTTTTTGTATAAGTTGAAATATTTTTATTGAAGTATAATTCTTTTGAGGGATGAGGGAACAGACTTATTGGAAGTAAATTATTTCTATGGATATATTAAAATTAACAGACCATTCAGTCAACAAATTGAATGCCCCCTGGAAGCAGTGGGGAACATGACTCATCAGCTTCGAGTCCAATGAAAGAGACATAAACACATGATGATTTGATAGCAAATGTGATCCGAGATGCTGTGAGGCCACACCACAGTGACCGCTCCTGCCTTTGAGGGTCAGGCAGGCCATGAGGGCAGTGTTGTACTGAGGTGGTGAAGAGTGAGGGTTGAGGGGAGGTGCATGTGTGAAGACTTAGAAAGGAGTGGACTTGGTGTGTTGGAAATGTTGAAAGATTACTATTGCTGGAGCAGAACGTTGAAAGAAGAGGCTGGAATGGGACTGAATTATGAATTATATAGCCCTGTAAACTATATGAGAGAATTTGCACTTTACCCTAAGGACAGTGGGAAGCCTCTGAGGCATACTAAGGAATGAAGTGCTGTTACCAGGTCAGGCTTGCATTTTAGAAATTTTACTGTGGCTGTAGTTTGAAGAAAAGACTGGAAATGGGCAAGACTGGAATGGAGGCTGTTTTATTCCAGATGAGAGTGAACTGCACTAGAGATTGCAGAGGGGAATAGGGAGAAAACTGATGTAAGTTCTCACAATGCCTTTTTCGTAAGCACTCAATATTTAATTATGGTTTCTAACATTTAAATTTTCAATAGGCAAACTATGTAAGATAGTTTCATCAAAATAGAGCTAAGATAATTTGAGAATTTATCCACATGATCAAATATGTTTCTATATATTGCTGTTCTTCTGGAATAAAATATTAAAATAAAGATATCAGGATCTTTCTATATTTGAACATTCTTAAATCTCCAAAAACTATTTCACAAGCTTACTTTTTATTAAATGTATTGGTAAGAACTATAAACTACTTGTAAATTAATTTCTTTTTTTGCATTTGAAAACCATATACATCTATTTCTTGATGAACTTCAGCGGTTGGGTATCTGTTAAAATGATGTTACTCCCAAAGAAATTCTGAAAAGGACAATAAGTTGAACTGTAGGAAAGTGGCCAAAATTAATTAGGATGCTTATCTTCACAAAGGTGATAGAAGCTATACTCTTTAGGGCTTGAGGAAGAACATTAAGTAGTATACTTATGGTGTTGACTTTTTAGCTGCCATGATGAGAACCAAAATGAGTTTATCCTCTTGTCAAAATACAATTACTAGAAAGGGATGAAATATGTTCTAGTAGTAACTATAGTTTTTTAAAAAGTACTAGGTCTTTAAAAAAAATCTATATAAAGCAGAGTAACATGGCGATTTAATCTTAAAAGAGTAATATCTTTCTAAGCATAACATGTATTTCAGACATTCAAAATATTTGATAATTTAACTACATAATAAAATTAAGTCTGTATGGCTAAAAGATACCATGTTTAAAAGGCAGCAATGAGTTGGGAAGAGATATTTTGCACTGTATATGATAAAAGTCCAACTCGCTTTATTGTAAAAGTCAATTACCCAATAGAAAAATGGGCCAATGAGAGATTAGTAGTTCATAGAAAAGGAATGGTTTCTCAACGTAGGAAAAGGTGCCCCAGACATACTCATAAGAGAAATTCCAATTAAAATTGTAAATAAACATCAGAATGGTCTTTTTACCATTAACAACAGAAACATTCTTATTCTTGTTGGAAGTATAAACTGAAATACTGTCCAGTTGCTCTCCAAAGAGATTATATTTACAAATTCAAAATATACATCCTCAGTAAACCAGTAATTCTACCACACCCAGGAAATTATCCGACCACTGCACTCTCAGGTGTGTACAAAATCTACGTCATATAAGGGTGTCCATTATGACACTTTCTGCAAGAAACTGGACAAATCTAGGAGACTGGTTAAATCAGCACCTCCCACTGGGTACTGTTAAAAAGGATGGAGTTTTATGATAACATTTCCAAGATAAATAATTCAATGGAAATAAGCAATCCTGTCTTGTTTTAAAGAGGAATGCTGTAAGAATATGTGCTCTTTTCTGCATAAACTCCAGATAGATACACGAGACTAGCGATATTGATGGGACCTACAGTGGAGGCAGACTCTCTTTCTTTGGTATGCCCTTTTGTACTGTTTGACTTTTTTCCACAGTCAGGTATTAATTTTACTTATCAAAGACAAAAATAAAAAATACAAAGGGAGGTATGAAAGAAGTCCTACTTAAATTATTTGCCCTCTGTCCCTTACTCTTTAGTTAGGCAAAATTTCCACCGTACATTTGGCCAAATGTTCCCTATTAATGAGGATGGAAACATTTGTTAAGGACTTCCTTTGTGCTCATGAAAAAAAATAGTGATGAGCACTTTACAAGTTTACACATTTATTTACTTGTTACAATTCTATGAGATAGTTAACAGTATCTGTATTTACTGATAAAGGTTCAGGTTAAGACACATGCCCAAGGTGAGGGCTACAAGGGCATAGCTGCATTTGAATCTGTGAAAGTGGTGGGGATTTGATCTTTCTACTCTATGTTACGTGTCTTAGATGGCACAAGTCGGTTCCTGATGTTGATGGGTATCATTCTTCTACACATAGGTACCGATGGGCCTTTATTCCAGAAGCCTCAGATGATTCTGGTTTGGAAGTCAGAAGGCAAGGCATACATCAACGAGAATTTAAACCTTATGTAGTACGACTGGCAAAACTTCTTCGAAAAAGGGCAAAGGTATTACACTTCCTTTAAATTTGTCTTTAAGTGTAAGATAGAATTTATAAAACATGTTTATATTGTGTTATGAACTTTATATTTTTCATTACACTTCAGATTAATTAAATAGAAATCTTGACCCAAGCAAATAGTAAAGTTGACCCTTGAACAATGTACTAGTAAGGGTTAGGGGCACCAACACTCCCCCTGCCCAGTTGAAAAATCCATGTATACCTTTTGACTCCCCAAACCTGAACTACTAATAGCCTACTGTTGACCTTACCAATAATATAAACAGTCGATTAACACATATGTGTATGTTACATGAATTATATACTGTATTCTTACAATAAAATAAACTAGCGAAAAGAAAATGTTAAGAAAAATCGTAAGGAAAATAAATTTACAGCATTTATTGAAAAAATCTGTATATAAGTATACACATATAGTTTAAACCTGTAGTTGTTCAAGGGTCAGTTGTAATGAATTTAGCATGCCATCAGTGAGCCTTTGTTACAAATCTTTTATTTTGCCTTCAAAAATTTAAAAAGTAAATTGTACAATTTGGGGATTTTGAGTTCTAGTCTTCAGAATGTGCTTTGAGTGCTCAGAAATTTTCCAGTCTTCTGGGGTTCCCTACTCAGGCAGTAGCTCCTAAACCACATTCTACAAACTATAGAAAATGGAATGGAGACAAGTGATTAAAAAGGAGGTTGTACTTGAAGGATTTACAATCAAGTTATTTCTTTAGGGACCAAGTAAAAGGACAGAGTCAAAGATGAAAGTTGGGTCCAGAGTTTAGGGTAGGATTTAAGTATTTCCACTTTGATATCACAGGTTTGAAAAAATATTCATGATAGCAAATCCAGAAGCAAGGTGACTATATATGACCCCTAGGCACATATACTCTGTCATCATTGCATGTCATTATTGAGCATTTTTATAAGATTCCTCCCTTATCTAAGGGATAAATATGACAGTCTTATCCCACAGAGTAAGGAAACAGTTTTGATTGGAAAGCATTCCCAAAACACTTTAAACAAGGCCTTCATGGCCAAGCATACTTTTCATGGAACAAAGGCTATGAGTTCTCCTCTTTCCTTCCACAGGACAAGGAGGAGGACTTTAAGACAGTGATTTTGGAGGGATTGGAGATGACCAAGCATCAGGTGAGGGTGGCTTTTTGATGCTTGTAATATGGCAGCAAAAGTTGCCACATCTGTACCAAATATTGAGACATAAACCCAGGTCTGAATTTCAACCATTACAACTGAGTTAAAAAGGAAGGAAGTCTTTCTTCAAGTATAGATTGGCGAAGTGAAAGGAGAAACCGTTTGTATGGAAACGTGTTTGACTTTTTAATTTTACTTATTATTGAGGAAGGTGATTCTGATTGAGAGCAGAACACTAAGACAAGTCCTTCTTCTTATTCAAGTGCTTAGTTAAGTCCCTCTCTTAAAGGTACATCTGGACAGGAACACAAACAAAAGGTTAACCTTAGTTCTCTTACATTGGAAAATATTTATGTAGAGGGATCAAATATATTCATTTTACTTTAGGATAATGTTTAATACGCTCTAATTACTATGGAATTGTCGTTTGATTTAGGGAACTAAAGGTGGTATGGTCAGCCAACTAATGGTAGTCAATGCTGTGAAAATCAGTCCTGGGACTGTCATTAAAGCAAGTGTTATAGTTAAGAGAAAGGGAGATGGTTTTTTAAAAGTGTATTTTTATTGATTTCAGAGAGGGAGAGTGAATCATTGATCAGCTGCCCCCTGCACACCCCACACTGGGGATCGAGCCCACAACCCAGGCATATGCTCAACCACTGACCCACGCCATCTGGGCAGGAAGATGTTTTTTTTATAGCCTGTAATTGAGACTGGAGGTTAAATCACTACTAACGTATTATATTAACTAAGAGATAGCTGGGATTTTCTGGCCATAAAGAATTGGATGATCTTTTTTTCTTCACAGTCTTCTGTTTTAACTTAAATCTTTTTTCCTTTCTCAGGATTTTATTTTTAAATTGGCAAACAAAATTAGCAAACAAATCTGTGAGCACACACAAGAAAATGAACTGGATTTTGCATCTCCTTTCTCCACTAGGAAACTAGTGATTAAAATATTAGGTAGAATCAAGTTTCTTGGCAACACCTGATCTTGTAACTAATATGACAGATTGTAATTCTGTTTCCTGAGTTCCACTTGATTTTTCCTTTTTTTCTCCAGTTTAGTGTTTGTTTTCATATCTTTGAGTCTGCCTAAGTTCAAGCATCTTTAATTCTTATAACTTTTTCCAGACATATTGATATCTAACAGCTGTGTTTGTATATTTAGTGGCTTTTCAAATTAGCTTCTTAGTACACAGATGATCTTGTGTTTATTTAGTTGACAGAATTTTTACATACGTACATTCTCATTTGACTTTCCTGCTCCAAGATAGAGTCCCCCATTTTACAGAGGAACCTTTCTGTATCTTGCCCAAGGATACACAGTAAGTAAATGACAGAGCTAGGGCACTAACCTGGATATTTTTACTCCAGTTCCAGCTCTCCTCCCCACATTGTTTAGCACAACACAGAAACAGTCTCCCGTGGGTTCCTTTCCTTTCTCTGTGCTGATGACAGTTATTCACTTTGGGTCCTGCTACCATCTTGCGGCAAGTTTAAGCCACTTGGCTAATAGGGAATTGAGTTACTAATGGTAAAATGTATAAGAATCTTTGTTCCTTCCTGGCCTTCTGTAGCCATTTTGTGACCTAGTCCTTGGTTACATTAGTGGGAGTCCAGAAATCTGGGAGCTTTTTGAGTATATGCAAAGCACAAAATAAACTTTTAATATTTGACTCTCCCTATCCAAAACCAATTCTATTAAGCTTCTTTATGCATTCTAGTTGAAAAATGTAACCAGTGTTTGACTCCTCTATATTCACTTAATAACTGGTATCCAAAGGCCTCCGTTAGAAGCAAGAATCTTAAGTCTACAATGAAGATGTAATATCATCAGTTGTATTTGTGTAACTGTTTATTGATGTTTATTCCTTTTTAAGTATTCTCATGCACTATAACATCTGCTAATAACAATTCCCTTTTTGTTTTCTGCAGAAAACTCCAGAGGAAGACAACTCAGGGAGAACATTAGGCTGGGAGCCGGGGCACTTGCTGCTCACCGTCTGTACTGTGCGCAGTCTTGAGCAGCTCCTGCCATTCTTCAATGTGCTCAGTCAAGTCTTCAACAGCAAAGTCACTAGCCGATGTGTGGGACACTCAGGGAGCCCTGTCCTCTACTCAAACACTTTCCCTAACACGGACATGAAACTGGAAAGCCACAAACCATTTTCCAGCAAAGCCAGGCAAAAAATAGAAGAGATGGTAGAAAAAGATTTTCTAGAAGGAGTGATAAAAACTTGAGCACCACAAGTGGTTCCATTTAGTTTAAATGTAAATGTTATCATTTAAAACAAAACATTACTCTGAGTTCTATAGTTTCTTTTTTTTTTTTTGTATGTAACAAAACACATTTCAGGTTGTATTTAATTTAAGTATTTGTAAATAAGAGCAAACGTCTGAATGTGGCCTGGATCACATATAAATATTGTTGGCTCATATTGATTATGGTGCCTAAGAGAGATCTATATATGCATATATAGTTCATTGTTTTTACTGTCCTGAGTTGTCTTAAACCTGCAAAATACACACTGCACATTTTTTTCTATTGGCGTCAAGATTGGTTTAATTTAGATTGGTTGGGGAGTTTTCCTTTCTGTTATTAACCACATTTTAGTGCCAGAGGTTTGGTGATGCATTACAATTAGCTTTCTCCCACATACCTTCACTAAGAGGAATAAGGAATAACTGAAGCCTGAAGCCTGGGACATGATCCCTTTACATGTAGCACGTCCACCTCAGTACAGAGATGTGCAGCCTCCATATTCCACCTCTGAGCTCCTGACGATGGTAACTGAAGAGGTAAGTCACTTAAAAATCACTCTGAAGACTTTGCTGGAGAACAGTTGACTGCAAACAACATCCTGGTTAGGTAATGGCTACAGAAAAGACATCCCAACATGTTGCTAATAAGATTTAATTTCCAGCAGCCCTCATGATTTCTTCCCAGCATACATTATAAAGTTAATTGAATCATATATGTAAGCCCCAATATCTTACATTAGTGAGACTGAAACTAGAGGTAAGTTTCATTTAAAAGAAAAAACAACAACGAATTTAATGAATGTAAGGAATTATTCTGGTAGTGTTTAAGAAAAACAATCAGACCTAGAAACAATCCATTAAGGTGCAGTAAACATTATGGTTATAGATGTGTTTGAACCGTCACAATAATGGCTTTACCGTTCTATAAAAACCTTTCAAAAATCCAGTCTCTCAAGAATGTAAAAATTGTCTTCATAAACCTGGTTGGGGACTTTCTCCAACCCCTCCAGCCAGCTGAAATACCGCCAAGCTCACTTCATGTGCCAGGCTGTCTGCACTTTCCTGAAAAGTACATTAAAGGTGATTAGATGGGAAAGGCTACTTGCAGCTAACCCTGAGGGAAGGGGAGGGAGCTTCCTGATTGTTTCACTAACAAATTCAAATGAAAACTTTTCATCTTTCAGTAGCAAATTCTAACCACCTTAAATACATGGGAAACAAAGTCTCTCAAATAAGGTAAGTTCTTAATCAAATCAGATTAAAGTTATTCCAAAACTGAATAAATTTAATAAAACATAGTCCTTAAAGGCAAAACACAGCCATAATTATCCTAAGAGTAAGTAACTCTTAAGGCCCCAGATAGCCTCTCCTCACCCCGCCAGGGGTATTTATTCTTTACATTAGAAGCCTGGTGCATGAATTCCTGCACCAGTAGGGTCCCTTGACCTAGACCAGCTCTCCGACATCCCCTGAGGGGTTCCGGATTGCAGGAGGGCTCCAGGGCATGTCCAGCCCATCTTGCTCAATCCTGATCAATCAGCTGGACCCCAGCAGAAAGCTAACCAGTCGGAACGTCTGCCCCCTGGTGGTGAGTGAACATCATAGTGACTGGTCAAACAACCTTAGCATATCATTAGCATATTAGGCTTTTATTATATAGGATTCTGGGATGGCCTAAGGCAGGGGTCCTCAAACTACGGCCCGCGGGCCACATGCAAATACAAATATTGTATTTGTTCCCATTTTGTTTTTTTTTACTTCAAAATAAGATATGTGCAGTGTGCATAGGAATTTGTTCACAGTTTTTTTTTTAAACTATAGTCTGGCCCTCCAACCGTCTGAGGGACAGTGAACTGGCCCCATTTAAAAAGTTTGAGGACCCCTGGCCTAAGGCTTCTGCAGAAAAGCTGACAGCTAATGTATACATTAATGGAAAATGTCTCCTTCTGAGCCCCTATTCAATAGACTATTTTGCCTCCACTGTGCAAATTTTTTATCAAGGATCTATGGTGACAGAAAACGATGTGTGAGAGGGCAAATTTTAATATCCAATCACAAAGATTTAATATCCTATCACAAAAACAGCAAAAGCACAGAACAAGGCTGTCATTTAAAGGAAATACTTCAAAAAACAAATTGAGAGTCCAGAGTCAAACATGAATTTCAGAAATGGACCTCAACCCTGATTGTTTTCATGAAACAACAGGATTATGTTTTTGTTGGAAAAATAAAACAGAAAATAGTTCAACATGTATCAAGCTAAGTACCTATTAGTTATTCATGCCACAATTATAAATATGGCTTTTAGGAAATATAGAATAAATCAAAAGAAAAATATTTGGGGGAAGAATCTAAGTGGGTGTAATTTTGTTCAACTATATAACAACCACTGATGAAAATAATTTTGTAATCTTAATATGAACCTAAAAGGCTCCATAAACAAATATCAGACATTAAATCCTTAATTATCACAGCGAGATTGCAACACTATTAAAATAGTTTTCACCTCCTACTACCACCCCCCACTACCTATCTTATTATTGGATTCCCACTGCACATTTTTCAATAGAACTGTATCAGCTTACTTGTGAGTCTGCTTCTGCGTATACTCGGACTATATCTTCTGTACCAGAGGGCCGGACGAAAGCTCGGGAAAGCTTGTACTTCTTCACCAGGTTGTCGATTGCCTCCTGTAGTCCTGGGGGTGTGACTGCTTTCCTTTCAGCATCCGTGGTGCTAATAACTTGCCTGTCTGCAACCTATGCACAAGCATTTCATGCTTGTTATTATAATTTCATCCCCATTTCAATTTAACAATAACAGCGCTACATTTCAGCTTCTTGTACACAAAGTACAGCACAGAAAGTATCAAATTAAGCATACAATGAAATTACATTAAAATTTTATATTTCTGCCAAAAGCAGGGTTGTTGATATCAACTTTTCTTAGTTTCTTCAGTCTACAAAGAACTACCTTTAGCAAAAAGAAATACATTCCCACATACTGTCTTACAGCTAACTACCACTAAAATAACGGCCAGTAAATACCGTATGACTTAAGTCACTGATCAAATTAGCTTTTTAAAAAATCATCTATTATGAAAGAGGATCATGAGAATCTCCTAGTCACAGTGCTCCAAACTAATGTGAACAATCAGCAGCAATTTCTGTGAACTCTGGTGGTGAATGTGTAAACTGGTATAAATCTACATGGAAATCAATTAGCCGTTTATCTTAAATGCCTTTTAAAAATTCTCTCCCTTTGAGCCCACAGATTCTACTCAGCATCTAGCCTGAGGAACTATTTTTACTTGAAATGATAGGCTATCCAGGATGTGCTTCAAAATAATATGGGAATGTGGAGGGAGCAACTTAAAATCTACTGAAACTGGGTATACAGGGGTTCATTATTTTGTTCTCTCTACATGTATGTTTTAAGTTTTCCATAATTTTTCAGTGATACACAGTTATAATAGATTTGGAAACTAAATACTTCTCAAAGAATAGAATGGCTAAGAATTATTCTGTAATCGTTAAAGATATAAAAAAATACAGTTAGATGATATAAGGCATTATTTTCCATGTAATATTTATGTTTAGAATGAAATACGAAACACTTGGGCAACATTTTTATATAGTGAGATTTGAAATAATAGGTTTTAATTTTTAAAAAAGAATTTTAAAATCTTGCTCACACCTTAACTTTGAGCTGTCGGTTTGGAAGATCCGTATAGAGAGCATCCCACTGTTGTATAGTCAGCCCTTTCAGAGCCAAGATTGCCTCGATCACCAGCATGTCAGAAATAGCATCACCGGCTGCCTGCAAGATTGGAGACAATGGAAGGGACCATTCAACTACAAGGAAAGATTAGATGTGAATGTGTCTTAGAAAACTAAGTTTCCTGTGCTTCCTGCTCCTCTCCCTATGCAGCAACATTAACTGGTGTGGATAAATTAAATATTAATGAGGGGAAAAAACTAGCTCTTAAAAAACTTGCCTTTAATCTTCCTCCTTAGCTATAAAATGAAATTACATAACTCTTAAGATTCCAGCATTAACATTCTATAATTCAAATTTTTCTTTGTAACTAGATCCCTTTTGAGATATGCCGTGATGGAAGGCATCATGCAAAGTCTTGGAGAAATAGGAGCTTTGGTGTAAGGCATACCTGAAGTTGAAGCCATGTTCTGCCATTTATTAGCTGTAAGCCTTTGTTTCTTCATATATAAAATGACAATTATAATAACCCTTCTCTCTATGTTACAGCAAGGTTTACACAATACGGTATGTAAAGTGCCCCATATGTGCAAGATGCTCAAATATTACTTCCACTGCCATTAGTTACACTCCAATTCTACCCAGTCTGACCCACAAGACAACTGATTGTTCTTCCTGAGTTTTGAGAAAATAGGTTTAAAAAAACATACTTAGTCATATATATACTCAGAGGCTGAATCTAATGAAATTTTTCATCAAAAAATGTAGGGCAAGGGAAGCACTTCAATGTTCTGTCATTGTCATTTCAGTGTAAATCTCCACTGTATGTGCCATGGTTGTGAGAAAGCTTGCAGGACTTCACCACTTTAATTTTTTATATAAGCCCACTATTCTGTCCACCTTCTTTATGAATAATGTGAAAGTAACCAAGACCCCACCAGCCCATCAGTTCTAACCTGGTTAAACAAATCAATAATGTTTTCAAGCATCTTAGCAGCTTTCCTTTTCTTATCTTCTAATTCTTCTGCTAACGCTAGCTGTTTTATCTTCATTTCAGCAGTTTTACTAAACAACACCTGCAATGAGAGCGTACACAATTACAAAACTACCCCAGGCCCAGTCATAAGTACTATCATGCTAAACCACTTTTGAAATTCTCAATGAATCTGGAGAAACTAAGGGGAAAAATAATGGCAGCCTTACAATGTATGAAATTAAGATCAAAGCAAAACCCAAAAGATATTATTAAGGAGAAAAAACGTCCTTTGTGGATTATAAAACTGGTTATTAACATTTAAAGAGCTGATGACAAATAAAATACCACCTTGGCAAAGGTGATCACATACATGGGTTCATTATGTTTGCCCCTCAGCCAGTTTAATCAGCTCTGTGCAACCAGGTTTCTTAGGTGGATCTGTATCATTTTATCTGAAGTACATAATTCATTGCAACTAGTATCTTTTTGTCCTAAAATTAAGACTGTAAGCCAGGCAGAAGTAGAAAGCGCACTCCACTCACCTATATCATATTGTGGCAAATAGCGCCAAACTATTTATTATAACATACATCACGTTATATGTGATGTATTCTGTATAGATTTCTGTCATTTTGAAATGCCTTTCCCATGATTTTAATGCCTTCAGATGCCCGCCACTGAGGAGGAGCTGCATACCATGCTCAGCCACTTGCTAAAATACTTATCTGTTGGTAAACTAAGGTGCAGCTGGTCACTTGTTTGAATAGAATACAGCCATACACATTCATTTACCGCACACCAGCAGGCCTGACCAGTTGTAACAGACATTATAGTCCCAAAGCCTAAAATATTTACTATTTACCTTTTATATTCATTCACCAACCTCTGCATTAGATCACTGAAGTTATTTTCTAAGAACTTATTTTACTTCTACTTTCATTCATTGCCTCTAGAAGCCAATTTTGAAATTCATGAGGAAAATTATTTGACCTAGGTAAGTTTTTGTGTTGGGCACCTCAAATCTATCTATGAAATGAGGTAAAGTATTAAAACATCTAAAGAAAAATTATGTACTTTATGAATATACTAAAAACCATTTTTACACACCAAAATTGTGAATTTTATGGCAGGTGAGTTATATTTCAGAAAACTTTTAAAAACATTCTGTCTGCTAAGAGCACCATAAAAAAAAAGTGTATGCTTACTGCTAATTACATTTCCAGTTGTTTATAACTTAATTCTCAAGCTATCCAACACTTTTCAATTTACCACACCTACTATACTTTTTACCACCTATGGCCAGTTGAACAGAGTATTTTTAAATGATGTATAGACAACCAGCTTATTAAAAAATTAAGATGTGCATTCTTATAAGTAACTATACTGTAAGAACAAATTAGCATTATTTCTTCACTCTCAAAAGAAGATCAACCAAATCAAATTCTACTACCATCCCAATAATTTCAACAAAGTAGAATATCACCTATTACTAACCAGATATAGAATCCCCATCATTAAAAAAAAGTGCCAGCTAAAGTTGTAATTGTTTAAGAGAACTTACTGTGCCATGCCCATTTGCTTCAAAATAAATTCCAATATCAAACTCCTGAGCCTTATGATGCAAATGTTTTACACCAGTTTTAGTACAATAGACTGGGACCTATAACACATTAAAAAATAATAATAACAGCAATTATTCAATCAGCAAATTCATTGTGTACCTACTATTCAGGGATACAATAGGGAGCAACACCTGGGGCTTAATCTAGTGAGGAAGACAAAGCAATTGAAACCAAAGTGGTAAGAGAAGGCACTTAGAAGCACAAAAACAAGGGAAAAGAAAGGCGAGAGAGATGAGGATAGAGGAGTGACATGATCTGGTACAGAAAACTCAATTTAGCTACAGGATGAAGAGTGGCTTAGAGTAGAGGTTTACAAGCTTTTATTATAAAAGGCCAATTCTAGGCTTTGCAACCACATTGTCTGTTATAATTGCTCCACTCTCATTATCTGTGAAAGCAGCCACAGACAATACAAAAACAAATTAGCATGGCTGTATTCCAATAAACCTTTATAAGCAGGCTGGATTTCCCAGCTTAAGAAGGGGCCAGTAGGAGTTTTCTAGGATTAATCCCAGTAGGAAATTATGGTGGTTGGACTGGTAACAGTGGTCAAAGTCTTGATAGTGCAAAACTACAAAAAGACCAAATAAGATGGACATTTGATTGGACTTAGGAAGCCTCAAGAATCATTACAGCTAAAAGTATTTAACCCAATGCTATTTTTGGAATTCAAACAGTCTGGTCCAAATTAATTGATGGTATTGAATGTTGAACTTTTTAATGTTCTTATTGCTTGACGTTGGGCCTGCTCCTAGCGCCTGGTCTGTCGAGTCAGCCTTGAGGTTGGACCGAAAAGGGTTAATTTATTAGAAAATGGTTGAAAAGTAACAGTTTCTGATGCATTCAGTTTCTTAAATGGTATCTTACCTATAAGGGATTTTTAAGACAGAACATAGGAATTTAAATAGTAAAACAACCACCTAAATACTGAAAATCCTGTGAAAAGTAAGCAATTGGGCCCCTGATGGAAGTCCCTTGAGTAACTCTACTGTAAACCACTTTTGTCCCACCCTGAAATCAATCAGATCACAAGCTCCAGCCTCCAGATGAGTTTTATTGTGCCTGCTCACTATTTTTCTTAAAATTTATATCATTTGCCAAGACTTAAAAAGTCAGAAATTTACATGAAAATTTCAGTTTCAGCTCCTCACAGCTGGCTTGGGCACACTCTTCCTAGTCCTCACCTGCCCACTGTACTCATTCACTTCAGCTGTCCAGATCCTACAGGAACCTGGCTTCACCATTCCTACTTTAAAACGAGTGGCAAGACAAAAAAATAGCAAAATGCAGGAACTTATAAAGGGATACACAAAAGTTAAAAAAGACTGCAGTAGCTAGTGAAAAAAAGAGTCAAGGCAAACAGACCCAATTTTGGCCATGAACCTCTAACACTTAGAGCAGTGTCATACAGATGGTGGTCATCTGGTGGACACTGGGGAAATAATTAGAAACAGAATCTATCAACCCACAAAAATTCTCCACAGAAGAGTAGGAAGACAGTTTTATTACTGAATAAGCATTAAGCCAGACTAGTGATACACATCAATCTGCTAAAAGGCTGCAAAGACAGAAAGTCCCTCTTTGCATCAGGAACAATTTAATTTTTCTTTTAATTTCTAGTTAGCCTTACATGAACAAAGACTCAGCTTCATGCACTACAACCTATTCACTTTTATGAGGGTATTATTTTCCACACAGAAATATATTACAGTCTATACCAGGGGTGGGAAAACTTTTTGACTCGAGGGCCACAATGGGTTCTTAAACTGGACCGGAGGGCCGGAACAAAAGCATGGATGGAGTGTTTGTGTGAACTAATATAAATTCAAAGTAAACATCATTACATAAAAGGGTATGGTCTTTTTTTTTTTTAGTTTTATTCATTTCAAACGGGCCGTAGTTTGCCCATGGCTGGTCTACATTAATAAAAGAGAAACATGCAAATTGCTGTCACTCCGCTACGCCCACCAGCCAATCAGAGCGACTATGCAAATTAACCCAACAAAGATGGTGTTTAATTTGCATATGCAGGCACAGAGTGAAGACTGAAGGCTCTGGCCAGAGTGAAGACTGTTGCAGCTGGAGGGGAGAAGCCAAGCCTCCCTGCAGCCGGACCAAAGGCGTGGGTCCCAGGTGCCAGAGGAAAACTGGTGCCAGCAGCCAGAGGAAGGAAGGCCTATTGCACGAATCTCTTCATGCAATGGGCCTCTAGTAAAATATAATTAAGAAACCACCAGCAAATGGAAATGGTTCAGTACCTTCATAACTTCTTCAAGATACCGTGTTGAGCTTCCATTTGCATATGCAGTTTGTACAACGCCAATATTCAGACTTTCTCCAATCTAGGCAAAAACAATGAAATGACCATACATCTAAAGCAAAAACACTCCAAAGCAAACGTACGTTCTAAAGGATGACAAAGTGATCAACAAATTCAGCTGTGCCTTATTTTATGCAATAAATAAATGACTCAATCAAAATTTACATATAGGCCAGAAAAAAAGCTAAAATACTTCTGGGCATTATTTAAAACAATTCTACAAGGAATTTTTTATAAAGAAACATGTGGTTTCTTGATCTGTATCTCTTTAATTTTTTAAATAAAAGTATTTATTGAATTCTTGAAGTATATCTTTTCCAGATCATAATAATTACTTCCTATTCATCCTATAAGGCTAGCCAGAGATTTCCAAAAGATCAAAACAAACCTCTGAGGATGAGATTTCCTATTTAAGCTTGAAGCTTTGGGGATTTATGGTGGAACTCCCATTATTAAAGTGTCAGCTATGAAGAATTCAAAACTTCATAAAGCTTCAAATCATAAAACTTCGCCTATGTAAGGAAGCAAAAAGTAACTTCGGATTCCAAAACCATTTCTCCAAAGTTGAAATGTCTAGAATAACCATATCTTTTTGTATCTTCCAGCCACACATGTAAGGAACTTCCCATAAATTGTGCCTTTGAGACATTCAACTGACTGCTATAGAGGCTAAAGAACTATTTCACCAAAAGTCTAGTTTTAAAGGGTAGTCAATCACTCCCTGCCATACCTCCAACAGGAGCTCTTTAAGGAAACTACTAATGAGTGTTGCTATCTTGTCTCCATCAATGAGATGAAAGTGGCCATCTGCATCATAGTAGTAATAAATAATTCTGTCTGCATCTCCATCAAAGGAACAGCATCTTTCATTGGGTTTCATTTCTATTCCTAGTACACAGAATAATTAAAAATGCATTTTAGTCTAAAAAACAGGAATACAACTCAATATTAAAAGTTTTAGGTTTTTTTCGTATTCTAGTTGTAAATGGAAATCTTTTCACTAAAGTATGATCACAGCTGGTCTTATGTGTTACATGTAAACATGTCCACTATGATTATTCAAGAAATAGTTAAAATTATCCTTCCAAATAAAAACCAGTGTCTTAATCTTCGAACAGTATGCAGGCTTATTGGTAGTTTTTACAGGGTAAATTCTTTCACAGCTAACTGAAAAAGAAGCATTCAAACTCTATGCTGAACTTGACATTATGCTAAAATAATATTCCACTTTATAAGCCAGTTGGTTTGGCAACATAGGTTCCCATATAGTTGTTTAAAAGCTACAGATAAAGATAAATTCCTCAATGCAATTTATCTAGTCCTACTATGTCCTTTACATATATAAAAAAAAAAAATCAGCAATAGATGAGGTATGTGCTTTAATTCAGATAGGAATGATTTTTATTGTTCGCACCATCAATAACAAGAAGCTGATGTTTCTATCTCTCCCTCTCCCTCTCTTAAATCAATAAAAATATATTTACAAAAACAAAACAGAATTATAGCCCATGAGAGATAAATGGTTTCTGTAATTTGCATAAAATTATTGAAACCTCACCAACTGTTACAAATGTATTAGATATAAGGATGTCAACATGCAACATGAAGCAAGTAGGCAGTGAATATGAATTTAAGATTGACTATAGGGTTCAACACAAGCTCCATGAAAGTCAGGGCCTATGGCTTGTTCATACTATAGCCCCAGTGCCTACAGCAAGATAAAAAGCTCATGATTTAGTGAATAGATAGATCAGGGCCTGAGAACTGAGCTGCAGGTAAAGTAGTAGTCAAAACTAGCAACCAATGAAAGGGAGCTTAAATTGGTTAAACTGGAAATTTAAATGCTTACTACAGTAAGGCATAAAGTAACGTTAATGTGAGAAGTCACTAGATAAGGTCTGTAGAATTCTGAAGAATGCAGTCCTGTCTTAGTATGGAGCCACTCTACTGCAGCCAGTCCACGTGACATGAGGTAAAGAGAAGCCAGATTCCAATATTTAAGTCAAATCAAAGCATCTTAAAAATGGCCCTAGCCAGGTAGCTCAGTTGGTTAAAGCATCATCCCAATACATCAAGGTTGAGGGTTCAATCCCCAGTCAAGACACAAGAATCAACCAATGAATGCAAAATTAGGGGAACAAATCGATGTCTCTCTAAAACCAATTAACAAAAATTAATAAAAATAAATGGTGGCAACTAACGCAATTAAACATAGACACACAGATCAAACAAAATACATTTGCAAACCAGGCTAACAATTTTGAATCTATAATGCAGCTAAATATAGAAACCTCTGACTACAACTACAATCTGAAGAACAGTCTCCCTCCTAACATGCCCACTGTGGAAAACACTGATTCTGGAAACACATAATTCAGCAGGAGCATTCTCCTTCCACAGTGTGTCTAATTCAGTAAGATGAAAAATAACGCTACTTACCTATTGCTATTCTTTAGATCAGTGATTCTCAAAGTGTGGTCCCCAGACCAGCATCATCAAAAAGCCCTGGGCTCTTGATAGAAATGCAAATTCCTGTGCTCTACAAACCCAATCCAGACCTACAGACTCAGAAATTCTGCAGGAGAGCACAGGAATCAGTGTGTGAACAAGCTCTCCAGTTACCAATTTCTGAGTTTGCTTTTCCACTCAACACGCTGTGAGGAGTCCTGTGACCCACAGGCAGAGTCCATGTTTGGAATGGCATGATAAGCAGGAAGGTGCCCAGGTGTCTACAAGTGACACAAAAACCAAATGCATGGCTCCTCATTTGCCACTTCTGTTTGTAAATGAGATTGGTTTCAAAACTCCAAAAACAAATTTTTTACATACCTTGCGGAGGTTTCTGATGACTTTTCACAAAGTCAGCCCCACATAAATGATTGAGTTTCCCTGTAGTCCCAACGTTAAACAACTGAATTGACAGCCCCCGGGAGAAGTAGTTTTTCATTTCTCTGAGCTTCAGGGCCCCTATGCCATTTGCACAGTCAACCTTAAGTAACAGGCATTCGTCACCACTGCAGAAAGCCTTAAAGGAAAGACACAGGGAGGAAAATCTCAAGTTCTAAAGATAAGAGTGAATCATAAGGCATGCATACCCATATGTAAACATCTTCCATTATTTCAGTTCATCTATTTTAAATCAAGAAACAAAAGGGCACACATATTCAGATGAAAATCATAAAACATCAAAGTAAAATTTTAAAATACTCTTTTATGAACACTTTGACACAGGAACAGTTTCAATGATTGAATGACTTATGGAAATGGAGTTTGTTAAACAAAAAATTTACTTTCACAGCTGAAAGTCTTTTTTAAAAGTCATTGCTAGAAAAAAAAGGACTGCTCTTGGGGTTAGAGTCTAAAACCCCAGCAGCATAGCCAGATAGAAAAGACAGACATGACACTGTCGTCCCAGAGTTGCGCAAGTGTCTTTATACATCACATACAGGGAAGAACGATGTGAGTGGTTTATAGGGATTTACATTAGCTATAGACTAAGGGATGGGAGAAGTGAAGCAGGCCAGTTCTGGATAGGCACAGAGTCCAAGTCAAAAGTGTTTGCTCCCTTGGATAGGTTATGGGCAAGTGGGAAGTTCATGTTAAATAAGAGGCAGAGGCTCCTGGGGTTCAAAAATGCCTGGCTATTCTCTCTTTAGAACAATTGCAGGCATAGCACCTGGAAATTAATCTGAAGTTCCAAAAGACACCTGCTAATGTGAGCAGTCTCTTGTTAGCTGCTCCACAGCTGTTAACACGTGAACCGCTGTTTCTTTCTCTCCCTCTCTGGGTACTGTAATTAGGCCATCTCATAATTTTTTTTTTTGTCAAGCTTTCTTAGATTTAGCCTCAATAAAGCAGGGTTCCTTAAAAATAATATAGTCTATGTCACATGACAGTCTTTCAAAGGTGGGAATGAGCAGTAAAACATCTCTCATTCTCTTCATAGTATATAACACCACGGGGCATTTTTGTTTTTTTCTAATTGACAGTCTCCTCTCCTACCCATCCTCATCCCAGAATATAAATTCTATGACAGCAAGGGCTTTGTTTTGGTTTGCTGTGCCTGACAATAACATATACTCAATATTTATTGATCAAATGAATTAAGCTCCTCAAATCTCATCCAGGTTTAACATGCCAATTCCCTTAACAAGAAAATCTCAACAGTAAGATGCCTCAAGTGTGATATCAATAGCAGCTACTTAAGAGTAAACTTGCCCTGGCCGGTTTGGCTCAGTGGATAGAGCGTCGGCCTGCAGACTGAAGGGTCCCAGGTTCAATTCCGGTCAAGGGCATGTACCTTGGTTGCAGGCACATCCCCAGTGGGGCGTGTGCAGGAGGCAGCTGATCAATGTTTCTCTCTCATCAATGTTTCTAACTCTCTATCCCTTCCCCTTCCTCTCTGTAAAAAATCAATAAAAATATATTAAAAAAAAAAAAAGAGTAAACTCATCTGAATGAATACTTATAACCACAAGAAAACCACCATGTTTGTTCCCCCAGTGATTTAAGGATGTTACATGCCTTGCCAAGTAAATGCCAACACACAGTTAGGATACAAGGACCAGAATTTGTGTAGTCCTGCAAAGAAAATGATATGCCGAATTTTTGGAAAAAGGACAAGTGACAAACTATGTAATTAACATTCAAGTTTTCACCTGTTTGGTAAGCTCCACAAAGGCCTTGGAGAGCTTCTGGTAGTAGCCTTCTGTGGTTGCCTTTCCATACTGGCCCTGGGTATTCCGGCAGTACACCATGTAGTGCAGCTGCGGCGTTGTCAGCAAGCCATAATCTGTCACAGAAGGAAAGAAAGCAATGTAGCACATTTCTTAATAAAGAAAAGTTTAAATGGATTCATACTGAAGGAACTGAAGGTGACAAAATACAGTTCAGAAAACACAAAATGCTAAATTTTATAAAGCAAAAATATCCACTAAAATCATTACAAGTGCATGTCATATTGTAATTTATAGTAAGAAATATGTATTTGGTCTTTATCCCCATTCCTGACAGAGCTTCTAAACCAGCCTTGGGCAAACTATGGCCCGCGGGCCGGATACAGCCCATTTGAAATGAATAAAACTAAAAAAAAAAAAAAAAGACCGTACCCTTTTATGTAATGATGTTTACTTTGAATTTATATTAGTTCACACAAACACTCCATCCATGCTTTTGTTCCGGCCCTCCGGTCCAGTTTAAGAACCCATTGTGGCCCTCGAGTCAAAAAGTTTGCCCACCCCTGGTATAGACAAATAAAAAAAACACAGAGCAGTACAGAAAAGTTGTAATTGAGTTATATTTCCAGTAACATTGCAAACTACATAATTCAGATGAACACTCCTACAAACAACCAGAAATGCTAGATTAAAAATTTCTTTTTAGAAGTAACTGCAGTGCCAGTAAGTTGTAGAGGAAGTAGGCCAAAATCTATTTAAACAGAAGAACTCCACAATTAGAGCCAAGGAAACTAGTTTTATTATCTGAACATTCCTCAAAACTTGAAATTGAGCTATGGTTTTCAGTGCAAAAAAAGTCCATGTTGTTCTAAAAGGGGGAACCCAGTAGAAGGCCAGGCCTCATAAAGCTGAGGCCCCAGAGGACTATTCTTCAGTGCAAAAGTGAGTCAAAGTGAATCAAAAGTGAGTCATGGAGGGGAAGAGATCAACCAAGGAACTTGTATGCATAGAGGCATAACCAATGGACACAGACAATGCAGGGGGGCTGGGAGAGGACAATGGCGGGGTGGGGGGCATATGTAATACTTTCAACAATAAATAAAAAAAAACAAATGTGAGTCAAGACCCAGCTGGGTGGCTCAGTTGGTTGGAGTGTCATCCTGTACACCAGAAAGGTGGCAGGCTTGATTCCCAGTTGGGGCATGTACCTAGGTTGTGGGTTAGAACTCTGGTCAGGGTGGCTACTGGAGGCAGCCAATCAATGTTTCTCTCTCCGTCTCAAATCAATAAACTTCTCCTCGGGTGAGGAGTAAAAAAAAATAAGTCAAAAGTCCCCTCCCAGAAAAGCTGTCTTAGAACTCAGCACAGCAGAGGGAACACCCACAGCTAAAGAACATAACCACAATCACATGCCTCCCATGGATTTCCAACCCAAATTCCCATAACCACACAGGTCTAAAAGAACCTTGTCATCAGCCAGCCAGGTAGGACTCCCAGCAGAAGCAAACATTAAACTGCGTTCACCATAAACCTCAAAAATGCCCCACAAATAATTTGTTTTTCAAGAAAAACAAATAGCTTATAGTAAAAAATCTAAACACACAAAAAAAGGCAACACAAGCAAGGAACAGGAGAAATAGATAGCAGGGATAGGCCAGTATCCAATAAATATTCATTCATGAAATCTGTCAACAGTCTTCAAAAGTCATACACTAGAGTCTGCACTGAAGGCGAAAAGTATTTAAGTTCTTGGCTGTGGTATAAGGATTAGATGAGAGGAGATGGAGAAACCCCCAAAATAAGTAAAAGCTTAAGTCTAAGGAGGAGAACTGTATAAGGAAGAGAAAAACTATTCCAAAAGGCATACTAAAGGATGAAACAAATTTTATGACCAATATCCAAATTACCAAATAAACATTCACTAAATGACTTTTTACAGTTAATAAAAAGCATAACCCTCTATTCCACTGATCAACCCAAAAACATAGAAACCATTCTTCACAGCTCTATCCTCATCACATCACAAAATCCTTTGGATTAAATGTTAATTTCAAGTTCCTCCATTTCTCTTGCTATCATTACTCTTGCACAAACTTCTGCACAGTTTCCTCACTGGTCTCTTTTCCTTACAACTTTCCTATCTCTCGCTACACAATAGCCAGAGTGACTGCCTTAAAATCCTTTGGTGGAGACCAATGCATCTGGACTAAAACCCAAATCTTTACCATGACCTCTAAGGCTTGGAATGACTTGGCCCCTGCTCACCTCCCTAATCTTATCTTCCAGTAGCTTCCCCCAAAGCTCCTTGTGCTGTAGCTGCATTAATCTTTTGTTTCCTGAAATACACTGAAGCTGGAGAGAAATGACGGTTAAAAAAAAAAAAAAAAAGCTCAATTTTTTCTAAAATAAAACAGTGAAAAAGTGATGCTTCTAGAGATAGAATCAAAATGTTGAAAATAACCATTCTAGGAAGAACACAGTTTTGGGCAGAGTGAATGTAAAGCAGGGGCAGCCACCTAATGGGGCGTCATTCAGACCAACGCATTGCACACTGCAGGCTGAGCCACTCCATGTCTGCATTTTCTAAAGCAATAGATGAATGCACATCGTGTAGTATGGGTAAGTAGTATGTATGGAAACTTTTATCTCAGCTATACATACAAGCACACATACACAGTCATAATACCAAATGGGTTTCTTACTATGGGTTGAAACAGTGAAATATAGACTACTGAAGGGTTGTAAAAACAGGCATTCAGAAATGTTTGATGAATAAATAAATGAGTAAATAAAAGAATATACGTAGCTGGAGCTATGGCGGTAAAGATGAACACTCAGAGTGAGAGAGAGAAGCGAAGTATGGCCACATTAAGAGAGAGGGTAGAGGAGCACAGAGAAGACCAACAAGGAACAGTGGCCAAGGAAGCGAAAGCTTAAAGAAAGAGGGAGGCCAAATTATGGATAGCTGCCAAGACATAGACTGAAATAAAAATTTCAAAACATAAATTCTAAAAGTTATTTTTAGGTTACAGATCCCTCTGAGTATCTCACAAAAGCTATGAGTCCTCTTCCCAGAAACTAAGTGTGTGTGCAGGCAACACTCTGCACACTGTATTAACAGGGACACAGTGTGTGGGCAGCTTAACCAACCACCACCACCCCCCGCAGGTCCCGGGCCCAGGTTAAAAATCCCCACTTTTATAACACCCACTGGATTTGACAATTAGAATTCAGGTAAGTGTCAGGAGGCCTTTCACTGGAGGGGCAAGGATGGAGACTGGCCTGTAGTAGGCGAAGTAACGACTACAGGAGCAAAGAGAGAAGTGAGCTAGGTGTACTACTGGAAGAAGCCAGGTTATCTGTGAAGGAAGGGAAGACACAGGATCTGGAAAGGAGGCTGAAAAGGTGAAGAGAAGAAATTTTTAAATGAGAACAATCTAACACTAGGAAAATTCACCTCCAAGCACAATGGGTTCATTGTATTCACAAGGGCCCAACCTATATAAGAAGAGGATTCTAGCCTCCATTTTGTTGCATTTAATACTTCCTCATTTGTTAAAAATAGGGGGGAAAAATCTCAAACCACTTGTCAAAACTTAAAATCATGATTACAAGTAGACCAAAGATACTTTCCATACCTACATGACAGACAACAGCTGATTCCACACGTGATCAGCCATTAGGGAATGAATACCTGATATTGACAAAAGCTCCCTAGGATAGACTTCAAGTAACTTCAAGGAGTTTTATATCAAGAAGTTCAGCCTTACTAAAGAGAGCTGTTTAAGATGCTTCCTACATGTAATGTATACATAAAATAAAATATGCATGCCCAGAAAAAAATTTTTTTTAATTTTAAAGACTAGTATTTTATATCCTGAAGTTCATTTTTAAAAAACTTTGTTTATCTGTACTTTCAAACCTTTCTAAAATAAATATGTATTACTTTTATCATTTTTAAAAATGTTTTTTAAATATTAAATTAATTTACAACTTAAGATAACTACATACCATGGAATTGACCTCCTGAAACAGTGATGCCATCTATTACAGATTGCGAAAGTTTCTCACTGCTGGGCCTAGGAGACAAAAGAGGAAAAATAGTACCTCCCATCCAGAAACCAACAGGTAGGTGGCTAGTTCTGAAAGCTAATGCTGAAATTATGTGCTACAAATATCAGAATAATAAGGTCATTATATTTGAACTGAAACCTGTCAAGTATGAAAACTCTGAAAAAAATAATTTGGGTAGAGTATGAGAAGTCTTTTACAATGTTATTTCTTGGAAAGATATTGGCTTTTAAATGGATTTAGAAAATAGATATAAAGGATGCACTAATTACACCATACCCAAATACCTTGTCAAGTTTGACAATAACTACACATACTGCCTAAGAGCAGTAACTAATACTGCAGCATTGGGTATTAAAGTATCAAGGAAATAGAACTCACTTTTCATTTTAAAACATAAGAACAAATTATCTACCTATCTGAAAATAAAGTAATATATAACTGCCTTGTATATCATTATATAACTGCCTTGTAGAAAAAGATGTTCTGTATCATTTTAACTAGTTAATAAGCAAGAGGCAAATACATGTGGATGGCTTTATTGTGAGATCATTTGCTTCAGAACATAAGTCACCTGGCTATTTCTGCTACCCATACATACCAGTGGTCATGGAATCAGTGATAGATGGAAGTCCCTCTGATAACACATTTAAGGGTAAAACACTAGTGCAAAGCAATAAGAAATGGAGTAAAAATTTCCTTTAGAAAGCATCTCTGGCTTAAACCAAATCTTATATAAATGTGAATGCTTGTTTCAAAGCACACTTTTAATCTAACATTTTACAAAAAAATCTTTTTGTAAAGGAAGGTAAAAGCTGCCAAATATGACAAATTTGTAGAAATAAACTTAATATTTTACAGTGAACTCCAGCATGGGAAAATAATATAAATATATGGGCCAACAACACGGGATTATAAAATATATCTCTAAAAATAATGAGTTAAAATCCTGTGTTCTTACTTTACAGGGGAAAAAGTAAACCTAGAAGTACAGGGAGGAGACATTTGTTAATTCTCTCGTGCCAGGAAATGTATTATTTTGCATAAATTATTTCATGTAATCCTCACAAAAACCCTGTGTTAGGCCTTATCATCAACATTTTATAGATGAGCAAAGGGAAGCTCCAAAAGGTTAAAGTGGATAGTAAGTGTTGGAGTTAGTGTTCTGACTCCAAAACCCAAGCTGTAGTGCTGACTTAGTCACTGTGTCTCCTAAAAAGGCCAGGTAGGGGAGAAGCCTCCTGGGCAGTTCTGTCTTTCTTTCCATTTATCATGGTACCAAAACTGTTACAATCACTTATACTGAGTTCCCAAAGCTGCTTGCACCACTAACTCGATGGTCACCTGGTATCTCTACCAATCACGACGAAGGCGTCTTGCTGCAGATCCACGGCAGCTTTCTCGCTGATGTCCAGCAGCACTCTCTGCACATCTTGCTCCTCAGCATTTGCCAAACAGGTAGCGTGTTCCTCCCAGGAAGGTGCCAGCATTTCACCCAAAGGATCCACCAATTTGACACCATTGTCTTCCTTAAAAGAAAAACAATTGATAAGCCATCTGTGCATCTTTTTTTTTTTTATGGTAAAAACTTTTTATTTATAAACAACCATGTACTCTTTCACCTGCTAGTATTTCAAACATAAGGGGAGAGCCACAGCATATATTCAATAAAGTGGGTAATGAATAATGATGTTTAGTTAAGAATGTAGAAAGTCTTAGTTATTAACCTTCAACTATTTGTATAGCACATGAGCATCTGTGCATCTTCAAAGGGTGAGTTGAGGAAGTAAACTCCAGCTGCTTTTTCCCAACAAAAGACAGTGATGTCTGAGAGCTTCACCAGTGACCCTTACTGAATGCCAGGCCCTAGACTAGGTGTTCTGTACTCATTAGCTCAGTAGATCCTAATGACCCCATTATTATTCTAATCTGACAAAACGAAGATTCAGATCAAGTTATTTGCTTATGTTCATACAGCCAAGAAGTGTCAGTGCTGATAATAAAACATTAAGTCCATCTGACTCTTATACCCAATAGACTACACTAGTTTTAAATGGCTGCCATCTGTGCTTTAACCACCCGTTAACTAAGGCACAGCTGGAGCAAAGTGAGGGCCAAAACTCCTTCTCACTATTACTTTCGATTCTAAACACATCCTGGCCAGTGTGCCAACCAGTGGGTGGCACAGAAGCTGAAAACTGACTCCTAATTCTGTCCTGCTCAAATTTCTGGGGGAAAAAAAGTACAGTTTAGAGCAGCGGTCGCCAACCGGTGGTCTGCAGACCACTAGTGGTCCGTAAGGTCCGAAAGGTTGGCGATTGCTGGTTTAGAGTGAATGTCAACTGAAGGAAACAGCTCAGAATTGTTTTAAGAAATGCAATAAATATGAGGTTCTGCCTACAAATCATTAATAAATTACAGAAATTTAGATATGCATTTATAATAATGCACATTTAGAAGTTGGACAAGCAAAGTCCTCATGTTTGGGGGAAAGAGGTTACAATCCTACATTTAACTTACTTTTGATTTAGCTACAAAGGCAAAAATCTCATGCCATAGTAACCAAACAGAAGCATATTATTCAAATCATGTACATGGTGGGGCAAAAGTAGGTCTGAAGTTGTTCATATGGGAAATAATACAATAATTAATAAATAATAATACAAGAATAAATTGTGTTTCACATACACACAACTGTTTTTACCTCACCCCTATTAGTGAGCAATAGAATAAAAGCTTAGTTGTATCAAAAGGATACAATATTTATAAAAGGCTGTGACTCAAGGGGAGCTATGATGCACATTGACCACCAGGGAGGCAGATGCTCAACACAGGAGCTGCAGAGCGACAGCAACTTTGCAGAGTGCCATCTCTCACTCTGGGACCCCTCAGGGGGTATCGGACTGCTGGTTTTAGCCTAATCCCCGCAGGCCAGGCCCAGGGACCCCACCTGCTGGAGGGACCCTGCTCACTTCACAGACACCCTTTGAGCCCCAGCACCACCCCAGGTACCACCTCCTAATTAATTTCCTTTCAATGTGAACGAAGTCATACACCAGGCTTCCACTCCTTTGATAAAAACTTGTCATAAACACCAACACCATGAGCCTCATCAACATTCTGTCCAGAGCTCACTTTTGGATCCCTGGAGCCTCCTGTTTGGCTGTTTCTTCAGAACAAGAAACTATTCCCTAGCTATTAAAAAAACCTGTCTGAAAAATTTCAAAATGCACTAAGTCTTTGCAAACGTTTGCCCTTTCCCCACCTTGCTTCTAATCTCTCTAATTTCTGTTAAATTAACAGAGGTAAGATTTTTTATTACTGATACTGTGGCAACTAATTTGGAAGGACATTCTGTTATTTCTCTAATGTGGACACTCCCCCAAAAAATAACACTCATTTCATTCTCTCCACACCCTCTAATGAATCATGAGCCATATGACCACTCATTAAGAAAAAGCTATTTCACATCCAAAGGCACAAAACGACGTGATGGCCCATTCCTAGAATTAGAATTTGAACACTAGATCAAACTGCTCAACACATTAAGGTTTGGTCTTGTAAATAAAGGTTTGCTTGATCAGAGAACTAAATGCATTACCTCAGGATTGTGTGATGCTGTTACCATGACTCCTATTGTAGATTTTGTCTGTTTTGACCGCAGAACAGCTAATAATCCCATGCGAAACATGACATGATCAAGATGTTCTGCTTTTGTTCGAAATCCAGCAGTCCCATATTGAAGAATGAGTCCACTGGGCTTGGCATGTAATGCTGAGTGTTTTGTAATAGCATCTAAATCCATGTCTACAAAATTAAGGAATATTTTTCAGGCATATTAAGAAATCTTTCAAGGACCATCTGCTTTAAAAACTGCCACCCCAAATACGCATGCCTCATTTTGAACCTCCCCAAAGAACCATTTTTAAAAAAATACATTTATTGATTTTTTACAGAGAGGAAAGGAGAGGGACAGAGCGTTAGAAACATCGACGAGAGAGAAACATCGACGAGAGAGAAACATCGATCAGCTGCCTCCTGCACACCTCCTACTGGGGATGTGCCCGCAACCAAGGTACATGCCCTTGACCGGAATCGAACCTGGGACCCTTCAGTCTGCAGTCTGACGCTCTATCCACTGAGCCAAACCGGTTAGGGCCAAAGAACCATTTTTTAAGAAAGAAAAGAATGACAGAATAAGTCCTGGGAGTTGGTAGTACCTAGAAAATCTTGCCCCAATTATATTGTCCACTCCAGGGCAGGGGTCAGATTATTTCACAACTCAGCTCCCATTTGGCTCTAGGGATATCCCTGGACCTGGGTTGAATTTAAAATGGTCCACTCTCAACTAAAATGAAGATTCCACAGCAAGATTCCTAGACCCCTATAAGATCAAAAATCACCTCATTTCACAAGTGGAACAGCTTGGGCCTGGGCCTCAGTTAAATGAGCTAAATTTACGATGGGTAACTGATGACCCTAAAGCCCAAGGTCCTACTCTCAAGGGGACTGGACCTACATACCCAGAACATGTGGGAAATCTGTGCAGCTCTTTTGTAATTCTTAAGAGCCTACAGAGACTATTCCCAGATGAAAAACAAAGGCTAACAGTCTCCTTCCTCTCCAATACCTTACAGGGGGTGGTTCCATTTTCATAAGGGAGAATCAGGACACACTTCTAAGTTAAACTCTGGCCCAGCCAGGTGGCTCCCTTGGTTGGAGCACCCTCCCACACACCAAAAAGGGTTAGGGTTTGATTCTGGTCCAGGCCACACAGCTAGGTTGCCGTTTCCATCCTGTTGGGTGCATATGGGGGGCAACTGATGTTTCTCTCCCCCTTCCTCTTCCTTCCTCTCCCCTCTCTCTCTCTCTCTCTCTCTCTCTCTCTCTCTCTCTCTCTCTCAAATTAATGAACATACCCTTGGAGAAGGAAGGAGAGAGGAAGGAAGGAAGGAAGGAAGGAAGGGAGGGAGGGAGGGAGGGAGGGAGGGAGGAGGGAGGGAGGGAGGAAGGAAGGAGGAAGGAAGGAAGGAAGGGAGGAAGGAAGGAAAGGAAGGAAGGAAAGAAACGAAGATCTGAAACTAACATCATCTTCCTTTTACCTTTAATTTTAAAAATCAAACATCGGCCCTTAGCCCTCTAACTTTTCTTAGTCCGCTTGGCCACGTCCTCCTCTGGGATAGCCCCATTCCCGGTGGAACTTGGGGCTCCCCGCCTCAGCTGTGCACTGCTCAGTCCCTGGGTCAGCCCCACCTCCAATCAGCCTTGAGAGAAGCAGCAGCCCCCCCGGCTGCCCGCCTGCCAACCTCCCGGGCAAACCTGGCAGGTGCGGGTCGCCTCCAGGCCGCCGCGGTGGGCGAGCACCGCCAGCAAAGCCAGTCAACCTTCGGCTGGCGGAGGACCTTGCCTTCCACTTGTAAAACACAGCTGTGCAGCGCTCTGAAATGAGGTGTGCCTGAATCTTGTTTCCTTTACGGTCCTTAATTGCTTCAATGAACAAAAGTTAAAGGAAATGGTGGAAAACGTTTTGTTCGGTTGGAAGAAAGCTGGCGCTCGCCAAGCTTAGTCCGGTCCAAAGTGATCAAACCTCTTTCCCAAGCATGACCACGTTTTGTTAAAAACTGACCCGTGGGTAATGTATCACGGTTATTCATGGGGCGTAAACCAGCCCTGTAAGTCCAAAAAGTCTTTTTATTATTATTACTAAGATAAGATGCGTCCACCCCTTCACGCGTTTCACGTGCTGAAACGACTTTGAATGGGCACGTGAACGCTTTTGTTAAAAGTACTTCCAAGTCCAGGGTCCACTCTGAAAAAGCTCAGCGTGCCCCCCCGCCCCCCATTCCATCGTCAGCACCCGGCTGTCCCCTTCTCCTCCGGCCCGAGGCCCCGAGACCCCCGCCCGGGCCCGTGGACGCGCCGCCCGGCACGGGACCCTCGGGCCGGCCCGCCCGCTCCCAGGCACAGCGGCGGGTGGGTGTGTCCCGCGCGCAGCAGGTTGGTCAGTCCGTTAACCCACCCACCGGCCCGCGGTCGGCCGAAGCCCCGGGGACCGGAACGTGCCCTCTCGCCGCCGCCCAGCCTCGGGGCCCCCTCACCTCGGCCGGAAGACTCGCCCTCGCCCGCGCCCAGCGGAGAAGCTGCCTCGCGGCGCGCCTGGTACCACCCGGGCGCTCTCGGAACCCGCAGACGTGGCCCTGCGTGGCTTCCGGCACGTCGCCACGCCCCCCGGCCAATCACGGCGGGGGAGGGTTCGCTGGCCCCGCCCCGCCGCCCGCGCGCTGCCGGCGCTTGCAGGAACTGCGGATCCGGGGTCGGAGCGGGCTTGGGGCTGAGTCCCCCGAATGACCACGAAGGGTGAGGCCTCCGCGGTGGCCCGGGACTTGCAGCCGAGGGTCGCGAGCCGTCCGAGCACTGCGGCCAGAACATACCCAGCCCCGCCTCCAAATTTGGGTCTTGGGGGGGGGGGGGGTGTAGATCCCGTGTCTGTGGGAAGCTGGGAATCCTAGGGTCCCGGATGAGGGATGCCAAGCGCCGATTTGAGTCTCTGACAAGGTGGCCTCGGTCACAGGGACAAGCACCTGATATCCCGCGCCGCTTCTCCATGTTCGGGGTTCATCTCCCAAACCTCTGGATTCCGGGAAGCCTTCTTGGGCCTCCGCCCCTCCCCATCTCCGCCCAGATTGACACTAAACCTCATTTTATGTATGTAACTGTAGGATTTCCCCCCTCCCATTGCCCCCTTCGCTAAACTTAGACCCCCTAGGGGCAGAGGCAAATAGGTCCAAATCGTCCGGAGCTTTCTGACGCCGCCCCGGGCCCGCTAGCTCCCGGGAGAGGCGGAAAGGACCATCCCGGGACCCTGGGGGCTGAGGCGGAGGGACGACTTCTGACGTTGGGGGCAGCTGGGCCCAGGAGACCCCAGAGCCGGGAAACCAAAGCTCCCCCCCCCCCCCCGCAGGGAGCACCGCGGGGCTCCCTGCCCGCAGAGTCCAGCTCCGCCCACTCCGGGGACCTGGGAGGATTCCCGCTGGGCCCCTTGCCTTCCCCCAAATCCAGGCTTGCTGTGCATCCGCAGGTGTTTGCCAACCACCTGCAACGGAATAATTGGGAACACTTGTTGGAAGTCCACATCCCCGGATCCAGATCGGAAGCGGGGCGGGGGGGGGGGGGGGGGGAGGAACTGGGAATCTGAATTCTAAGGCAGTGCGGCCTTGGGGATGCTGTACATGCTAGATTTTGGATCCAGGAGGTAAAGCAGAAAAGAGTAAGTGTCCCGGTGTGTACCCCCAGCTCTCAGTGTCCAGTGTTCCTGCAAAACTGCTCCCGCGCAAAGGGAACGTGGGGAGATCTCGCTGGGCACTGCGGACTGACAAACCCGGTGTCCCTGGGCCTCTCCAGTTTTCCTGGCAGGTTGATTTCTAGGCAACATGTCCTCCGCTTCTGTCCAAGAGTGCCTGCAGCTCCAGCTGCTGGAGATGGAAATGCTGTTGTCTATGTTTCCCAACCAAGGAGAAGTGAAACTGGAAGATGTAAATGCGCTGACGACTATAAAAAGATACCTGGAAGGCACAAGGGAGGCGCTGCCACCAAAAATTGAATTTGTGATTACACTCCAGATTGAGGAGCCCAAGGTAAGTGCCTTGAGTTGTTTTAATTATCAGGTACCTCGTTTTTATTGGAAACACTTGGAACATGAGCTTTCAGTTTGAAGAAACAAACAAGATACTCCAGGATATTTCCATTCCTTGTTTGAATGCAAAATACGTAAAATACGAGTGCCCTGTAAATTGTCTTCAGTAAACATCCTGAATTTTACATGAACATGCACACCTTTTAACACATATACCTAGTATTGTTTTTTTTATTAAAAAACATTTCACTACCATTATTATTCTGCTCAGTCATCCAGTTTTTTACCAATCCAACTATTATAGTATGGGTTCTCTTGTACATATGTGATTTTCACAAATATAAATGTGGCCTTTAGCAAAACTGGCTTTTAAGGGGTGAATGGCTGTTTCTTTGGTGGTACCCTAACACAGAAAGCAAATAGATAGAAATCTAAACACTAAAAATGAATTTACCTTCTTCTGACCCACTTATCTCCAGCATTAGCATAGCACAGGTAATAAGTAGACTAGGCACTTGAGAGCCACTCTCCTATTTCCTACTCATCCTTTGTCATTCCCCCAAAGAGATGTCTTGGTTCCCCAGACTGGATTCATTCCCCCTGTTTACGCATTTCGTTGGCTCCCTGTACTCTTCCATGGTAATGCTTCTCACCACTGAAATTCAATACTTGCTATGCGTAATTATTTGTTTAATGTCTGTCTCCTTCACTAGGCTCTAGACTTCATCAGGGTAGAAATGGTGTCTTCGCTTCTTTATTCTAGCATAGGGTACCTGGCACATGGTTAGGTGTTTGATAAATACTGGGATAAATGAATGTATAAATGGAAGGAATAGTGTAAAGTACTTAGTACAGTGTCTGGCACACAGATGCCAATAGTAGCAGTAACTATTATACTTCATAAAATCATGCAGTTGCTACTGATAAATTAGCTTTGGTGATTTTATGGTACTTAAATCTACTTGATTTCCATTTTAAGGTGAAAATTGATTTGCAAGTAACCATGCCTCACAGCTATCCCTATGTAGCATTGCAGCTGTTTGGACGGTCATCTGAGCTTGACAGACAACAGCAGCTACTTCTCAACAGAGGTCTCACTTCTTACATAGGGACTTTTGATCCAGGTGAGCTCTGTGTGTGTGCAGCAATCCAGTGGTTACAGGACAACAGTGCCTCCTATTTCCTGAACAGAAAGCTTGTTTATGAACCATCTATACAAGCAAAGCCGGTCAAGAACATATTTCTCCGAATGTGGATCTACAGCCATCACATATATCAGCAGGACCTAAGGAAGAAGATTTTGGATGCTGGGAAAAGGTTAGATGTGACTGGATTTTGTATGACAGGAAAGCCTGGTATAATCTGTGTGGAAGGCTTCAAAGAACACTGTGAGGAGTTCTGGCACACGATCAGGTATCCCAATTGGAAACACATTTCCTGTAAGCATGCTGAAAGTATCGAAACCGAAGGAAATGGGGAGGATCTGCGACTCTTCCATTCTTTTGAAGAATTACTCCTTGAGGCCCATGGTGACTACGGATTAAGGAATGACTATCACATGAATCTGGGCCAGTTCTTAGAATTTCTAAGAAAACACAAAAGTGAGCATGTTTTCCAGATATTATTCGGCATTGAAAGCAAAAATTCAGATTCCTAGGAAGCTATTAATATTAAAAGGCCTATGCTTGTAATCTCACCAAGTCAGTATCTCTGTTAATAAAACCAAAATAAACAGGCTGGTGGCTGTTTAGTGTCCCTGTGAATAACCGGGCTGCAGAATTTTTACACAGGCCTTTTACCTTGACAGCAGTGCACTTGTGATGTTATGTCCATGTTCTTGTATTAACTGGAAGCTATTTAATTGTAACTTAATAAAAGCAGTCAATTTAACTGGGGAAGCTGATTTGATTAAAGAGGAGTCCAAAGCCCATAGTTAATGTCAATAGTCCAACTGCAGCTTTGAATTCACAAATAAGAATAACATCTCTCCCTTTCGTGATGCTAGTATCCAGATGGCACACCACTCTTTCATTATTAGGGATGAATTCTAAATCAGGTTTAAGATGAGAACAAAGACAGAGCATGTTTACTACATTTCTTACTTTATTTTAAACCCCCGATTTTGAGGTTTTTCTTTCAGTAAAACTGGAGCCCATCTGTAATGGCAGAAGAGTCAGAAGTCTCAAGAGTCATGAAGAGGACATGTGCTGTTTGGCTGTTTGCATCAGTGGATTAATGATACTAAAGAGAACGATACAATATTCTTAGTTCAGTCCTTAGCCACAAAAAAAGATATGATTTCTTGTCTACAAAGTGTTCCACAGGTGATGCCCACTGGCCATCTGTGCCCATGTGTCAGGGCCAGAGTGTTGAGAGGACCAGTGTGGATGCCTGCAGACCATTACCTTTCTGGGGAAAAATTGAGCTCTACATTTTGGTGGTAAGTCATTGTCATCTCTCCTGAAAATTCCAAGCTTCACCAGCCTTTTTCAAAATGAGAGTTTATTTCAATAACTCCTATTAAATTGGCACTTGCCAAACTTTTTCATTACAAAGTATCTGTCCCTCCCAAGAATTTCTGGGAGTCTCTGTGTTAAAGGGTACCCTGAACTGCCTCTGCTTTCCATGGTCTCTGCCTTTCTCAGGGAGCATTTCATTCTCCTGCTGAGTCCCAGGCACCTCACTAAGGCCACAGTCCCCTCAGGATGCCAAAGCTGGATGCTGAGATTTAGAAACCTGGGGGGGAATGCCTCACTCCCCGTATTACCATACGTTGTTAGATGCCAATCGCTGCTGCATGTGCTGAGGGGCTTACAGGCATTTTGATAACAGTTCATTCTGGTTGTACACTCCATGTCTAAGATGTAGACACATGTCCTTGGGCCAGGGTGAGGACAAACGGAATAGACTGACCAGGCACTAAGCTGAGTCTCCTGACCGTGAAGCCTTAGAACTGGGTCCACTCTGTTCTACCAAAGCTCTCAGCTCAGAATGAGTTTCAGGGCACACCTCGGAGGCCCTGCCCTGGGCCTGCCTTGCGAGATCGTCAGCTCACCCGTCCTAGCCTGCGATGTAGCTGGGATTCAGACTGGAGCCTCATGCTTTTCTTATAAACGAAGGGAAGAAATAAGGCTTACATGGACTGAAAACAACTTCATGTAGCAGTTCCCATACAATCTCCCCCAAACCATCAATAAGTATAATTAGCATTCACACGTTTTTAGACTCCAAAGAAATATAACTCCATTAATTTTCTTCCTTTGAAATGAGACAATATGTACCAAGTACCTAATATATGCCCAAACCACTCAGCAATTTTTCTGATTAAATTGGCAAAAGTAGTGACAGATAAACAAGCTTAAAGAACCAAAATATGAAACAAAAACAGAATTCAAAGGAATAAATTCTAGCTTATGAAACCTTTCCTGCTTCTGTAGCTATTTCTGATGGTAATTTTTCAGAGCCAACTTTTACATGCCCAATATGAGCATGTGGCAATACTTTATTCCTATCAGAAGCACTAATAATCAACATAAATTATGGGAGTATAGGTTTTACAGAAAAAAAATACATATATGAACATTCAAAGCTCAGCTGTCTATGTACAGTAGACTGCTGGTTTTGTTTAGTCAGCTTGATAAAAGTACATAGCACCCCCCCTCCCCCCGCACCACCACCACCACCACCACCACACACACACCAGCAGCTACTTCTCAACAGAGGTCTCACTTCTTACATAGGGACTTTTGATCCAGGTGAGCTGTGTGTAAGTGCAGCAATCCAGTGGTTACAGACAACAGTGCCTCCTATTTCCTGAACAGAAAGCTTGCTCTGTGGGGAACTGCCCCTTCTCTAAATGGTTTGGGAGAAATGAATGAAACCAAGTCGCTCATTGGAAACTTCCTATAAAGGAAGTTTTGATCTCCCGCTGCTTAAATCCATAGTGCCACCCTCATTTCTGACCTACTGAATGCTTGGTTAACACCTCCTTTGAGCTATCCAATGTCCTTTTTTTTTTTCTTGAAAGAACCAGTCTCCATTGTTTGTAACAAGAATCCTGATACTGTATACATACCTTATATTTATTAATGGTTATTTGCAAAGAATGCTCATTATAAATGTTGCAGTGTCTTTTTAAAAAATGATTAAATCAATATTTCTCCAAGGATGTTATTTGCTTTTTGTTCCTTTTTCGTCTACTTTGTGTCAGGCTAAGTGCTGAGGATACGTGGATAATGGACGGAGGAGTGGGCCAGGTGACTTAAAGGACCCTAACACATCCCCATATTAAATTACAAATACGTTGCCTGTGAACTTGTTTCCAGGTATGACAGCTTACATGCCACCCATCCTTTCTGAGAACTTGAGAAGGCCCTGAGGGAGCCTATCTGAGGTCTTCACAGTTTCCTTTCATTTGCTTTTACCTCAAGTAGCCCCGTGGTAAGTTGAAAGAATAGGTACTTTCTGAAGAGGGCAAGCATGGTTTGCTCAAAAATCCTGGTTTAATACAGAATCCTGATCTGCCTCAAAACTGAGCCCATTCTGTCTCCCTTCAGAAGGCACTGCAGCCAGGAGCAGAGGGAGAGGCCTTTCTTTTTCTTCGACCAGTTAAAGCTAGAAGCATGTGGACCACCCATAAAAGGGTTTGAGTAGTGGACACCAAATTCAAAGAAGCCCAACAAACACTGAGGCTCCTGAGTCATTGGTGGAACAAAGTATGCAATTTGGAGGGGACATTCCAACACGCACCAGACACTGGGCCTCCGCAAACTTGGCTGAGGCTCTTGTGCTTTCTTTGGATTAATCTACCCGTTAGCTCAGGTCCTGTGAGCACAGCATCACCCATGTGTTAGACCAGCTTGTGCACCACACAGTGGTAAGATGATCAAGGTCTGGTAACAAGGACTATACTCTGGGACAGTATCAGAGAGTTAATGAAACCTTGACAAAAGGCAATGTAGAATGTTGCTTGTTGATAGCACAAACTGCTTCGGGGCCCTCTGCTTACTGGAATAAAGGAGAAACAAACAAAAAAGCATTAGACAAATGAACATCTCCCTACTGATTTGCTCCAAGAAAGAGAAATTGTCTCACAGCAGCTGTCATCCTTTTTTTAATAGCTTTTATTTTATTTTTGTTTTTTATAAATATACATATTTTATTGATTTCAGAGAGGAAGAGAGAGGGAGAGATAGAAACATCAATGATAAGAATCACTGATTGCCTGCCTCCTGCATCCTTCCCCCAACTGGGGATGGAGCCCTGACTGGGAATCGAACAGTGACCTGGTTCATAAGTTGATGCTCAACTACTGAACCACACCGGCTGGGCGCAGCTGTCATTCTTAAAGGTCCATCTGTCTTTGCACATGCCAAAGATCATGCTAATTCTAGATGTGGTAAGAATCACACCCTTGCTTATTGTAAAGCTTGTGATGGTGAAATTTATCCCTGTAAAGCATATGGTACTTCCTGCCAGAATAGGCCTTTCTTTTATATCAGGGATCCACTATGGCAGCAGTTCTCAACCTGTGGGTCGCGACCCCTTTGGGGGTTGAACAACCCTTTCACAGGGGTTGCCTAAGATCATCGGAAAACACATATATAATTACATATTGTTTTTGTGATTAATCACTGCTTTAATTATGTTCAATTTGTAACAATGAAAATACATACTGCATATCAGATATTTACATTATGATTCATAACAGTAGCAAAATTACAGTTATGAAGTAGCAACGAAAATAATTTTATGGTTGGGGGTCATTACAACATGAGGAACTGTATTAAAGGGTCGCGGCATTAGGAAGGTTGAGAACCATTGCACTATGGGGATACTGCCATACAGGATGAAGACATCAATTCTAACTCTTCACTGGAAAAATAAATAGATGATGGATATATTCCTATAGCATGCACTTTGTCCCATAGACCAAAAAGGTTTCATAGACTCCAGAAATCTGTATTTGTTCAAACTGTGGCCAGATGATTTCCAAGAGACCTAGTAATGTTCTTGGTGTTAACCTGAAAACGGAGCCGCAAGGGAAGATGTCGGAAGCACTTACTTTACAACGTTCTTCACCTTCGAGATCTTTCATTCATACCTGTGATTGGCAATTTGGTGAGGGCCTCGGAACTCAATCTTGGTGGTGGTAGTCAGGCTTTTCTGCTATTGTTATACATATCAAGTAGACCTATGTGGGTTGCCCACATATTTGGACCTAAGCCATGCTGATATTCATCTAATATACACTGGTTTGGCTGTTATCAATTGTATATTGGCATCCATTTTTCTTGGTCAGCACATATGCTGTCCTCATTGTTACATTTTTCAACAAAATTTCAGGACATGGGGTCCTATGATTTACTGGCTACCAGCAAAGATTTCTGTAAACTAAACTATTTTGAGTATAGCAGATCTTCTATTATTGTTTCCAATTTGTCTCCAGTTGTTAATAGCTGCAAAGCCTTGCTATTAAGCTCTATCGACCACAAGATTCTGACATCTCTATTGAAATAAGGAGCCCATTTTAACCTAGCATTTCCCACAAGCTCCCCGGCGTACAGAGAAGAGTCATTAAAATGCTTTTCATATCCTCAACAAATATTAGCATACCAAACTCAACAATACATTGAAAGGGTCATATGCCATGATTAAATGAGACTTCTTCCTGGGATGCAAGGATTGTTCAATAGCAGCAAATCAACCAATATGATATACCATATTAACAAAATGAAGAATAAAAATCATGATTGTCTCAATAGATGCAGAAAAAGCATTTAACAAAATTCAACATCCATTTGTGATTTCAAAAAAAACTCAACAAATTATGTACAGAGGGAACATAACATAATAAAGGGCATATATGACGAGCAGACAGCTAAAACCATACTCAATGATAAAAAGCTGAAAGCTTTCCTGTAAGGTCAGAAACAAAACAAGGATGCCCACTCTTGCCACTTTTATTCAACATAGGATTTAAAGTTTTAGCCAGAACAATTAGGCAAGAAAAGAATAAAACACATCCAAATTGGAAAGGAAGAAATAAAACTGCCTCTATTTGAGATGACATGATATTATATACAGAAAATTCTAAAGGCTACCAAAATACTGTTCGAACTAATAAACATATTCAGTAAAGTTGTAAGATACAACATTAATATTCAAAGATCTATTGCCTTTCTATACACTAATAATAAACTATAAGAAAGAGAAATTAAGAAAAGTATCTCATTTATAATTACATTGAAAAGAATAAAATACCTAGGAATAAATTGACCTAAGGAGGTGAAACACCTGTACAATGAAAATTATAAGACACTGATGAAAGAAATTGAAGATACAAATAAATTTAAAGATATTACATGCTCATCAACTGGAAGAATTAATATTGTTAAAATGTCCATAATACCCAAAGCAATTTACAGATTCAGTGCAGTCCCTATCAAAATTCTAATAACATTTTTCACAGAAATAGAACAAACAATTCTAAAATTTGTATAGAACCACAAAAGACCCCAAATAGCCAAAGCAATCTTGAGAAAGAATAAAGCTGGAGGCATCACACACCCTGATTTTGAACTATATTACAAAGCTACAGCAATCAAAACAGTATGGTATAAAAACAGACATATATATGAACTAGAGGCCCCGTGCACAGATTCATGCACTGGTGGGGTCACTTGGCCTGGCCTGAGGGGATCGGGCTGCAACTGGGTCTCTGACATCCCCCGAGGGATGGATCCTGGATTGCAAGAGGGCGGTTCTCGGGTGACGCACCCCAGAATCGGGCTCCCTCCTTTCTGGTTACGGGTGTGTCACCCTAGAACCACAGCTGCCAAGTCATTGTAGCTCAGCAGCTCCTGCATTGAGCATCTGCCCCCTGGTGGTCAGTGCATGTCATAGCTACTGGTTGGTTGACTGGTCGCTTAGGCTTTTATATATATAGATGAAACAGAATAGAGATTCAGAAATAAACCCATACATATATAGTCAATTAATTTATGATAAAGGAGCCAAAAATATACAATGAGGAAAGGGCAGTCTCTTCAGTAAATGGCGTTGGATACACTGGACCACTACACAAAAATTAACTCAAAATGGATTAAAGTATGAATGAAACACCTGAGACAATAAAACTCCTAGAAAAAAACATAGGCAGTAAACACCTTGACATTGATTTTGGTGATCATTTCTTGAATTTGACACCAAGAACAAAGGCAACAAAAGCACAAATAAACAAGTGGGATTATATTACATTAACTAAAAAGCTTTACACAACAAAGGCAACCCTCAACAAAATGAAAAAGGCAACCAACTCAATGGATGAAAATATTTGAAATCATGTATCTAAAAGGGACTAATATCCAAAATATATAAAGAACTCATACAACTCAATAATACCAAAAAAAATCTGACTAAAAATCAGATTAAAAATCTGAGAATCCCTACATGGTGTACCCAGTGGTTAGAGCATCGATCATGCAACAAAGGGTCATGGGTTCGATTCCTGGCAAAGGGCATGTACCTGGGTTGCAAGTTCAATCCCTGTCCTTGATCAGAGCACATGTGGGAGGTAACCAATCGATGTCTCTCTCTCACATCTCTCTCTCTCTCTTCTTATTCCTTCCTCCCTGCTTCCCTTCTTCCCTTCTTCTCTTCCACTCTCTCTAAAAAATCAATGGAAAAAATATCCTCAGGTGAGGGTTAAAAACAACAAAAAAAGGCAGAGGATCTGAATATTATTCACAAGAAGATGTAGATGTCCATTGTGTACATAAAAAGATGCTCAACATCACTAATAATCAGGGAAATGCAAATTAAAACCACAATGAGGTATCACCTCACACCTGTCAGAACAGATATCAAAATGACAAGAAATAAGTATTGGTGAAGATGTGGAGAAAAGCGAACCCTTGTGTACTGTCAGTTGTCAGTGGGAATGTAAACTGGTGCAACTATTACGGAAGTCCTGAAAAAAAATATAGGACTACCATATGATCCAGGAATGAACCCACTAATTCATACAAATATATGGGTTCCATGTTCATTACAGCATTATTTACAATAGGCAAGACATGGCCAACAATGGGTGAATAAA